TCTCTCTCTCTCTCTCTCTCTCTCTCTCTCTCTCTCTCTCACACACACACACACACACACACACACACACACACATGACCACACATATAATTAATATACACACATGACCACACATATTATACACACAATCATACACGCACGCGCACAGACACACATATACTCATACACAAATACAAATACTCACACACTGAAACACACAAATACACACAAATATCATACACAAACACTCGTCAGAATATCAAACATGGAAACATCAGATTTTTATCAGCCTCCCTCAGCTTTGAAAATGTAAATAGTGCATTGTGATGAACACCGGCCTCAAAGGCATAAAATAGGCGATTAGATGGATTCACAGCAAAATGAAAGCCAAGAAAAAGATGGATTGATGGAGTCAAAGTAAACTTTCAAGGGTACAATATAGTGACCAAAGGAGCAATGACACCTGGCCAATATCCAACAATTGTACTTTTCCTCAACATCTTAAGGTACTGAAGAACCGAAGAAGTAATAGTAAGTATTCTGATGGTGTGCGTACCGAGAGGTATCACCAAGTACTCCATCAACAGACGCCAAACAAAATTAATTTCACTTACCCTGCTGGAGGTGGAGTTTCTGTTGCCAAGCTGTGTGTCTGGCCGCCTCTCAGGCAAAGTGGGCGGAGCTCTGGCTCGTGAGGGGCTGGCCGAGCGCTGTAAGGCGGGGAAAGGGGAAGGGGGTGGGGAACGTGGGCAGGGAAAGGGGAAGGGGGTGGGGAAAAGGGACGGGGAGAGGGGGGAAGGGCAGGGAAAGGGGAAGGAGGTGGGGAAAGTGGACGGGAAAAGGGGGTGGGGAAAGTGGGCGGGGAAAGGGGGTGGGGAAAGTGGGCGGGGAAAGGGTAGTTTTACTTTAGTTTTAGTAAGAGCTTTATGGAACTTTCAACACAAATATTCAGGTAAGCGCCAATAATTTGAGGGGTTTCTAGACAGTAACATACAAAGGAGAGAAGGAGGAGAGATAATGACAATAGATATTTAATAAGAAAGAAGGAGCAAACCACACCAAATGCCCACGAACCAACCACAAGGGGGCAGGGAAAGGGCTGGAGTGAGGATGGGGGACGGGAGATCGGATGTTAGAAATGTCTAAGGATACAGTACTTTGAGAAAGGGTGTACATTGTCTCCTTTTTCATTTTGGTTTTGATTTTGATTTACCCAAATTTCGGCTACCATTTGGACAAGAACATCTATTTTACCCGAAAAGGATATGTTAAAAACCTATAAAAGCTATGTCATTCTTTTATGTCCAATACAAAAACACTTTAAGTACCAGTGAAACATTATTATACCAGGGGTAAAACGGGTATAAGGGAAATAACTCTTTCCTTACCATATGCCCATTCAGAGGCATGGGGTGACCTCCCCTTTGCATGTTGTACATCTCCCTCGGAGAGGGAGGGAACTGTCTGGAGGGATCCATTGCCTCCTCTGAAGTCTTCCCCTCCTCCTCCTCCTCCCTCCTGACGAAGTCGTAGTCAGTGGGTGGGTGTGGAGATGGGCGGAGGTCTGGGAAGGCTGAGGCTATGGAGTAATAACAACCGTCTGAGGATGTCCTTGCTGCTACTTCGTTGTCGTCCGCACCGTGGTAGTAGCTGAAGTAAGATAAGATAAGATAAGATAAAATAAGATACTTATACAATATATAATGTGATTGGAAAAGTTATCTGTTCGATAAGGCATGATAAGATACGATATTTATGCTATTATAATAATATGATAAGATAATATACGAAACAATGCTAAACGATAATGTACGATATGATAAGATATGATAAGAATCGACACGATGCGATATGATAGAAGAGTAAAGATAAAGTAAGAGACGAGAAGAGAAGATACTATTAATCTTTACTGTCCAGACACTGGCACATTGGATTCGTGATTCAACACATACACACACAAACAGACACACACACACACGCGCGCGCGTGCGCACGCACACATACTCTCTCACACATCTTCTCTTCCATACACATAAATAATAAGTAAAAACAAAATATTAATTTTTGCAGAAGCAGACTCACAGTCTCACGCATATGTCATAAAAGAACAATAATTCTTAATTACAATGATGATGATAATGATAACGATAATAATAATAATAATAATAATAATAATAACAATAATAATTATAATAATTGTGATAATAATAAAAACGTTTCATCTAGATACAAAAACAGTATTCTGTTAGTATTCCAATAGTATTCTAAATATACAGGATTTACAAATCATAGGATAAAATACTTTTTTTACAAGCTGAGTAAGTAAAGTGGCAGATTTTACGGCACTTGCAACACAATTGGGTCATACAGGTACCAAAGATTAGGAAAAATGTTATAGGTTTAGCGCCCTTTGAACACTATTAGGTTATTTAAGAGGAGGGTCAAAGATTAGAGGTGCTACAAGAGAGAAACAAATACTTAAAAGAAGAAGGAGAGATAAGGACGATAGATGTTTGGTAGGAGAGAAGGAGGCAGAAGTATAGAGGGTGATGGTAAAAACTGACCTGTCGGCTGAAGCGTCGTAGTGCTTGTCTTCTGAAGGCGACGAAGTGGTTGTGTCTGGTGGTGGAGGTGGTGGCGGGAGTAGCGAGAGGCGGCCGGCGAGGTCTGGATGTGGTGTCGTTGTATTGTCTGTTGGGAGGAACACGGAGTCAAGCTCGTCTGTGGAGATAATGATAATATGAGAAATGAATATTATAACCATCCAGAAGATCAAGGTCATAAGTCAAGGTCATTGATCAACATATCTACAGATGTTTTAAACTAGTACAATCACCAAAATGTCAGTGTGGAGAGGCGGACCAAACTGTGGAACACATCCTTCAGCACTGCAAGACAAACATGGCCCTGAGACAGGAAATGTGGCCAACCCCACTGCCACTACAAGAAAAGCTATACGGGCCGACAAATGAACTGAGCAGGACGGCTCAATTTATGACAGATACCAGACTTCAAGTGTGATGCGATCGAGAAGAAAAAGAAGAAGGTCATTGATCAAGGTGATGTGCTGTGCTGTGCTGTGCTATGTGTCTAGAGGAGCATGGAGTCTAGCCTCGACTCTCAGAGTAGTGTAAGAACGTATAGAGTCCAGCTCATCTATGGAGATAGTAAGTCAATAAATAATGCATTCAATAGGTCATTGGTGTAGGTCAGGTCATGAGCTGTGTTATCTGTCTGGAGGAACAGGGAGTTCAAGTCACAGTATCTAGGCCTACCAGAGACCTCTCCGACGGAGATAGTCAAATCAAAATGCTTTGGGCCTCTGTGGACCAAGTAAAAACAAAATTGGGGGGGAGGGGGGGGGAGCATGCCTGTTTTAACCCATAATTTGATATTTTGCAGTTAGGTTTGACATTTTCTTGAAATTAATTGATTTACGTCACTTTTAGTGGCTATTATATGTGTGACTTGCAGCAGACAATACGCAGTTTGACCCCCCAAAGCAGTGGATCTGTATGCGAGAGTACGTCTCCGAATAGTTCCCGTGTGCTTGCCGGAGACGTCTCCGAATATCCTCTGCCCGTTCAAGTTGTTTGAGAAGACAACAGGCAGCAATGACATTCAGAAGGTCAATGTCACGTTTCAGTTTTCAGACGTGAGGAATATGGAGTCTAGATCGGAGATGG